TCATTAGTGAAATGTAGCTAGCCAGATAGTTCCACTGTGTATTTGCATTCTGTGTTCCCTTAGGGGAAATGCTTTGCAGACTATTGTTTACAGTTGCCATAGAAATGTTTTTGACTATTTTATTCTGACTAGTGACTACTAGTAATTTCATAGAATACAAGACAGATTGTGGTGATCTAGATAGCTCTGATACATCCAATACTCTGCTCAAAGTGACCCACTTTGAATTTACTGCTATAAGGAAGGATAATCTTCAACACGTTTTCACCGTTTTACCAATGTGATGTGATTTGTCAAGATACAAGTTGGCAACTTAAAATGTAGAGTGATTTCCATGCAGATCTGTGAAATTTGTACACCATATCAAACAGTAGTATTCCTAGTTCTAAAAACAGATACATAAGTAATGAATGGCATAGAAATAAATTCTCCATCCTTTAAATAATGGGTCCTCAAACTCCGGCCCCCCAGATGTTGCTGAACTACAACTCCCATGATTCTCTGGCTATCTATGTAATTCAAAGAATCATGGGATTTGTAGTTCAGCAACATTGGGGAGGGGGGGTCAGAGTTTGAGGACCCATGCTTTAAATAATCTGATTGACATCATTCATCAAACTCTGTAATAGTCAACAAACATTGAATTAAATAAAAACATAAAAATATACTGTGACGGAAGCCCCTGTGCCCCTGGCTCGTGGAGGGGCTTGGAGGCCAGCCTTCTGCCCACAGGCTATGGACTCGGTCCTTCTGTTTGAATTTGATCCCAAAGGGTATGACTTTGAAATGTTTAGCAAATGGGTGATACATTTTTTACTTATTATTTTATGTGATGCACAATGGGTTTATACAATATACTTCAATGGAAGTGGCATTCTGTGAATCCACCTTGTATGATTTAATACTTGCACAAATAATAAAATCCAATAATATTTTCCATTTTGAAGGATTCATGTACTTTATATAATTGAGACTGTATTTTCATAAATAATTAGGCGTAATTCTTTCATTACCTTGTTTTTGCATTCCACATTCTCTCCCTGTAATATAAGTAGTAATGCATTGTGAAAATACTTCCTTACTGAGATACATTTTTTTTAAAAATAGTGGAAGTGTCACATTTACTAACACAGGGTGTATTCTCTAAGTGCCAAATTGTATGCAACAGAAAGCAGAACTGCTCATTTTTGGCTTAAATAGCTGTTTTGTAGAAATGTTCCATCTCAGCTATTTAAGCCTGATCTTTGCAATTCAGTTTTCAATTCACCACATTATGATATTTGTAAACAAAGAAATTGTTAAATGGACAGAACAAAATGAGCTGACATTGTAAGACACACAAAATGTTGCGTATAGAAATGCAACAGGCAGACAATTGAAATTCTGTAGCAAAAAGCCGGTCTAAAGACTGAATGAAAATACATGTTCAACCCACCATCCCCAGTATAACACATACTCTATGAGTAAAAAAGCAGAATATATAATCATTTAGTGCTTTTCAGTGTCTCCCAATTATTGCTTTAACTGTCACAACAAAGTAAAAACACAGTGCAGAAAAGTAAAATGAATGCATGCTGTGTATGCCATGACAGTGATTTCCAATACTTAATGAATAAATTGTATCGGCTGAGACCCCTTGGTGTGTCTATTGACAAATAATGTAGCTAATCCTTAATTTAATGAAACATATTGTTTAAAGTAGCAAAGCTGTAGAAGGCTGATACAAATTGAATCAAGTAAATTCTAAACTGTCAAACCAAAAATGTGTAATTGAACAGTGTGATAGCTGAATGTATTAGTAGAGTCAGTTAAATAATGTCAGATGTGTAAGATGTGTAAACGTTGAAGTTAAAAGCATTTCATTCATTATAGCAGCACTGAAGCAGCAGGTACACTGTCAGGCACACAGGCCCACTGGATGCTTGATCTGCACCCTTGTCATTGTTCTAGCCACCACTGTCACATTTATGGGGTCTTTTAGAGGTATTAATTATGCGCAACAACCATTTAAATTTGAAGTTCACTTGAATTGATTTTGAATTCTCAACAACTCTTACTCTTTAAGTAACCCTTGATCTTAAAAGCTGCGCCATATATCTCCATTTCCTACACCCATGATCTGAAGTGCATTTTGCCTAACTTTCTGTTATATTGTGCTCTGTATTTCTGACCCGACCTAATTGGACCGATCTATGTCTGCTATCCATACAGACCCCTTGCGTGGTTATGGACTACTCTGGCTTCTGGAATCTCTGACTTCTGCTTGTACCGGTTTACCATATTTAGTTTACACCTATATAGTATGTTTTTGTTGCTGTTAACGCCAATCGTGAGGTTAGTAATATGTTGTTTTCTTATCACTTACCTAAACCTGCTGTGTGGAACTTGACCTTGTTAGTCCTGTCTGAGCCTGACACGTAATCGTAATTGTACGGCTGGGTACCCACATTGTAGGGTGAGGGGAAGATATTGCTGGAGTGGAAAATGATACAAGAGGTAACGCTAAGATGTATTTCATGTAATGGAAAAGCAGGTTGCTAGAAGACATTACAAGGAAAGCTTAGTTTATTAGATGACACAGTTGCAGGAGAGAAGGTGGGTTAGTGAAGTGCGGGGAAGGAACGCTTTTAACAGGTTAATTGATAGGCCTTCCTGAAGTAGTGAGTTTTCAGTGATTTTTTTCTTTAAGTAATGGAGACTTTGTGAGACTCTAATGGAGCGGGAAAGAGAGTCCCAACGGAGTGGTGCAAGCACAAGTACTTATCAAAGTTATAAACGACCTAATCACAGCTAAATCCAAAGGCCAATACTCCATACTAATTCTTCTTGACCTCTCTGTTGCCTTTGACACTGTTGATCATGCTCTCCTTCTTCAAACTCTTCAATCACTCGGTCTCTGTGACTCTGTCCTCTCGTGGTTTTCCTCTTATCTCTCCCCCAACGCTCACTCAGTGTCTCCTTTTCTAATGATACCTCCTCCCCTCGTCCTGTCTCGGTTGGAGTCCCCCAAGGCTCCATCCTTGGTCCCCTTCTATATTCTCTTTATACTGCCTCTCTTGGCAAACTTATTAACTCATTTGGATTCCACTACCACCTGTACGCTGATGACACCCAGATATATCTCTCTTCTCCGGACCTCTCCCCTGCCGTCCTGCATTGTGTCACTGCTTGCCTTCCTTCCATCTCTGACTGGATGTCCTTCCACTTTCTGAAACTCAATCTTTTGAAAACTGAGCTCTTGTCCTTCCTCCTCCTAATACCGATCCTTCTCTTTCACTCTCCCTTCAAGTTAGTGGTATCCAATCAATCCTTGCAAGCATGCTGTCTTGGCGTCATACTTGATTCTGGCCTCACCTTTGAGCCCCACATACAGTATGTTGCCAAATCCTGTAGATTCCATCTTAAAAACAGATCCACCCCTTTCTTACGCAAGATGCTACCAAGGAGCTTGTCCATGCTCTAGTAATGTATTACTATTGTAACCCTCGCTTAATTGGTCTTCCCAAAAGCCATATTGCCCCGCTACAGTCTGTAATGAATGCTGCCGCTAGACTGATTTTCCTCTCTAATCGGTCCTCTCACACCTCACCCCTGTCAGTCCTTACATTGGCTTCCTGTATCCTATAGGAGTCAATTCAAAGTTCTAACCCATACCTATATAGCACTGAACAATTCTAGCACCTCTTATATTTCTTCACAGATCCATAGGCATGCCCCTTCTCAGTCTCTCCGCTCTGTCCGTGACCTTCTCCTGTCCGCTGCTCGCACCCGTACGGCCAACTCACGCTTGCAGGACTTCTCGCAGGCGGCTTCCTTCCTATGGAATAGCCTGCCTACCACCATCAGACTCCCCCCTAGTCTTCTATCGTTTAAGAAGTGCCTTAAAACCCATCCTTTTAGAAAAGCTTATGGCCTCCCAGAGTACCTGTATGTACCCTCTCTCTCTCTCTCTCTCTCTCTTGCCCTTTCCTAGAGGGCAGCACTCTATGCTCTCCTTCAGCTCTGCTTCACTCCCACCTTATTTGATTTCTATTTCCTGTCCTATTGTGTTTTATACCCCACATCTTATAGACTGTAAACTCGTTTGAGCAGGGTCCTCTTCAACCTATCGTTCCTGTATGTTTTCTTGTAATTGTCTTATTTATAGTTAAATCTCCCCTCTCATAATATTGTAAAGCACTACGGAATCTGTTGGCGCTATATAAATGGCAATAATAATAATCAGTACACTGCTGCCATACAATTTCTTGTTAAATGTATACAGTAGTAGTAAAATGTTTCCACAGTACATACATTGCATTAAATTGTAGATCTTACCAGTTAAAAAAATACCAAAGAAATAATTGTTCAGTGTCTATGACTTTTATATTTTTGCTTCCTGTATCCAAACTTTTAGAGTTCTAAGTATACAGAGAACAAACCCTAACAGAAAAAAAACATGAACGCAGATGTATTTGCATTTGTGATGATGAATATGCTCTCTGCATTTTCTGGGGAGGTTGGATTGAGTGATGAATCAAAGCTTCTCATTATTAATTTCTAAAGCACACAAATCATTAACATCAGATGCAACATAAATGTTTTCCACAAGCATCACATGTACCACCCTAGAAATAAAGGCAATTTTAAATTAATCTAACCATTAAAACAATATGTGGATTGACTATTTTTTCAGTGAGTGCTGAATAAAGTATTTTCATTTGTTTGCAACCTCCTACAGACTTGTAATTAAACCTTGAATTGCTTTGCAACCAAAGCTTAGGTCGCACCCTAAAGACAATATCTGAGTGATAAAATTCTCTACGAGACACTCCTTCACAGTTATTATGCCCTTAATAATGCATTTAATGTTATTGTTTTTCCATTTCTCAACAGTTGTTCACACACTTCAATGGAGACAAAATGGCTGCATGATCTTGCTAATTAGTGTGTAAAGGAAGTGGAACACACGTCTGCCCAAACTATGGCTTTAATACATGCCATGTGGCTTTGCCATCAGTGTGTTTGATAAATGTTGTTCAAAGTCCTTTGAACCCAATAATGGGTTTAAGATACCTGCTTATGTCTGCTATCTCATGGTAAAGCAAGGTGAAGATTAGATTGTAGATTGAAGCATTTGGGATCAATTGTGAGATTGTGTAAGTGAAAGCAGCCCCGAAGAACACTATTAGTACTGCAAGAGAATTCTATAATTAATTTCTACAAAACTATTACTTATATGAAGTTCTGTCTGGTTATCCCTTCTTTTCCATCCCTTTGTTTTTGCATAATTTGAGATCTGTTAAAAGCTCTGATTTGATCATGGGACAGGTGGTAGTAATCTGACTTTCAACATTTTACACTTACAATAGTAGCGTTCCAAAATAAAGTTATAATCTGTTTTCTTTTTATCTCCCAAGCCAACAGTACTTTTTACAGCTAGTTATTTAGTGAATATGTCACCTTATTTTGAGTATAACATACACAGAGATGGAATAACCATGCAATGGTATCTGCTCTCACATATGTGAAATCCATAAATGACATAATAACACTAAGTAGTTTTGCCCTTTGCTGAGTTTTAACTTTTCAACTTAAGTACAGTTTTGTTTACGGTTACAGCACAGTGTGTGTAATTTAAATAACATGCACAACACTGTAAGTGGGTTTGAGGTCAATGTGTACTGTAAACAAACACTTTGTACGTGCCCAAAAAATCCTGCATGCAAGGTGAAGGGGAATGAAAGGATGGCAATAGCTGCTGCGTCCAGTTTATGTGGCTCTGCAGAAGCTGGAATTGCGTCACTGGACCACACTGCCAGAGCCGCAAAAAGATTCTATAATATATTTCTACAAAACTATTACTTATTTTGGTTTGGTGAGGGTTGTACTAAATATCTATGAAGTCTCCAGAGAGTCCCGGCAGGGACCCAGGTAAGGGGGCAATCCGTTACTAAATGGTTTATCCTGTTACCAGGGAACTCTCGGCATCATAACCATTACAGCATATTGTGGGGGATATAATGATTGAATTAATGCTATAAAGTAACTAAGTATGGACTTTGCACAATAAAATGTACCAAGTGTTATGTAGAGATAATCATACTTCCTGTGATCTAAGGAAATGTGGAATTTGTGTAAATTTAGGCTGATATCACTGGTGATATCGGTTGCAGGTTATATTTATTTAAGCCATATCAGGTAACTTGAATAAAATTAAAGAGACAGGACCAACCAGGTAATCCAAAATGATCAAATCCATAACCTTTTCATATCTATAAGTGCAGAGGGGTAAAGGCAGGGCTAGTGTGACAAAGCTTTCCACCGCTACGGTCACAGCCAAAAGTCCCCTGGTCACTAAAGGGGAATCTTCTGGGGGGCAAGCTTGGCACATGCCATATTCTGAAGCATCTCAAGGAAGAAAGGCTGAACTCACTTGGGGCATGTTGTAAACCCCCCAAATACGGCAAAAATAAAATGAAACCATCATAAAGACTGAAACTCTTTATAAAGGCTCTAATAGGAACCAACATGTTGCTGTTCTTCATCTATTAAATCTGCCTGGATCTTAAACCTGTGCCCGAGCTATTTTCTTTGTCTGTAGCTACCATTAAAATTTGGTTCCCTCTGAACTGGAGGCTTGGTTACCATTTTTTTTTTAAATTCTTTATTTTTGTTCGTGCATGAATTAGGGATTATTCTAGCCTCGGTGAGGGAATAATCTAAATTTTTTACCTTCTTTACTGAAACCTCCAGCAGCAAAGAAACAGTTAACATAACTTTTCAAAACAACCAATCAGAACAAAGCAACAGTAGTATAAACCCCTAAGCAGGCTCTTCCACTTCCTCTTTCTTTGATGAGGTCGAGCAGGAGAGCAAGGAAACCAACGAATCCACCTTGTAACAGACACATCCAGAGAAACAATCGTCAAGCCCAGAGAGAAAACAGATTACACTGCAAGAAAACAGAAAACATCGTGAAAGTAAACTGTCAAGGCAAGATGTCATATCCATACAATATCACTTTCACATCATAATACCTGATGAATAAACAAAGTCTACATATCTTATGAAGACCTAATATGTACCTAAGCTAAAAGGCATTGATGAAACATAATTACAACACAAACATGATGAATAAAATGCACACGGACAACCATCACTGAATATTAGAAATAACCTTTATTATGTAAAACCATGCATTCACAAAACATAACAATATCCCCAATTATTTATAATATAATAAAACCCAGATCCAGGGAGGGAACGTAAAAAAAGGGGGGGAAATATTCGCCTCCTGTCTTTAATAAAATTTAGATTATTCCCTCACCGAGGCTAGAATAATCCCTAATTTTATGGCAGGACAGGAGGCTTCATATATGTAATTTTAACGCCCAAATAGTAGAACCAGAAGCAATATGCGATAGAGGACTGAAATAAAGGAGAATGGAAAAACTGATTCCCTAAACCAAGCAGCGGTGTAGAGAAAATGCAGAAGGGACCCAACGGCTTCCAAAATTGTTGACAGCACCCCGAACCAAAAGTGTCTCAGAGGAACTCAAGGTCAGTCAATGAGAGGATCCACCAAATCCAACGGACGAGCGAAGATGCAGAAACAGTCCAAAATGGCTGTACGCAGAAATAAACAGCTGTCCATGAGTAGACGTACTAAAGAACCAGATCCTGGATCTACATGGTCGTGTACAATCTGTCAACAGATCCGTGACCTATCCGGAGAATAGGGGTACGACACAGAGGATGAATAAAAATGAAATATGAGTGGAGCAGAAGCCGATGTACTGAACGGCAAGAAGGAAGAAGACACGTCGATACCATGACGTCAGAACGCGATGAAATACAAGATGTACTGGGGGGAAACCGTAAGCGGAAAAAACTGGTGCACCTTGTCATCAGGTCATTCCTCAATGAAATGCAGAACGCACGATACCACTAGACTTGAGGAATAGCGAGAGATAGGGCTCCCGTACGGTATACTCCTCTTGGTAGACTGCAGACCAAGAGATCCTTAGCAATGCCAGAATCTTGAGAAAACGCACATGAGTCGTCCACTAGCTGACATAGGACGTGAATGGCCCCATACGATCCTACCCTGAGAGGGCAACTCAGCCAGACAATGGGGACAGCCATGATAAGGACCGCCATTGGGACCCAAACACCAGTCGTGGCAGGCTACCCCTGTGGATCCCACATGGGACATTAAGAGACAGGGAGTCGTAGATTGCCTTCCCATGGCAAACTCCAGCAAAAAGGGGAAAGCACGCAGGACTCCTCCGAAGTGGTTTGGCCAGGCGAAACGACACTTCCAGGAATTCGGTCTGAAGCAAAACCCAAAGTATCCTGTAGGTAAACCGGATGCGTACGCCCCGAAGGAGACCAAGCTTGGAAAACTCGTCCCTCGCCTAGGGTCCGGCAGCCAGTTGGAGAACCGCTCCGTATGGTGGTTCGCACCGAATGTAATCATGCCAGTACTCGACACCCTGGAGGGTGAGGCAACCAATCATTGGGGACTCTCCATGGTTGGGTGAAGCCGTCCGCCACACGAGTGTCTCGTCCCGCATACATTCTGTCACAAATGACGAATACTTGTCCAGAAGCTATAGATAGCGATCCTATGTGAGATCCGACTGCAGTCCATAGTGGGCAACCGGTGAGAAGTCCATGCCGGAAGGTAGCGAGCAATACTGTGAATGTTGAACAAACCTGCAGGTAGTTCCATGCAGTTGACGAGTCATCAATCAAGTTTTAATTGAGCTTCATCCGAAGGTCACATGATTTGGTCATACCAGGCCGAAGACACGAGAAAGCGCCATGTTGAAGCAGCTGGTAGTACCGGATCCTGGAGGTATGGCTTCCATGGCGAATAGGCACCGGTCAATTAACCGGGTTGGGCCCCTAAGTGTAACCCGCGGGTTGCGGAGCATATACCTGGATCTTGGTCCTCGGGACCGAATATTCCATGAAAGACCGGAAGCTGGATTGACTGGGAGTGAGTCAGATTCAATATGTCCACGTTGATGGCAAAATCCATGCGGGTTTCTCTCATGTGCATTTGAGGGAGAGAACCAATCGTCAACGCCGAGCAGCTCTTAGAGGGGATGAGTGCCCTCCGTCTCAAAATGTGTCAACAGACGACATTTGCACTGGGAGCATGTAGCGTGGGGATGGGGCGGGAGTCCACTCCACCGCACCCTTTGCCCAGCAGGGCAACTGCAGAATGAGTCGGAATGGATGCCTCTTTTGGTCATGCGTATCGCTCATGGAACGGTCCAAGGTTCCGCAACCTTGATCTGGAGTCCGGGCACGGTCCGAGAGACCTCTGGGGCTAGTTAAGGGGGAACCCTATGAATAGAGACGTGTCAGCTCAATTTGTACACGAGGGTAACTCCGGAGAGCAGACCCAGCACTTGGATGCTTAATCCATCAGTTTGATGTCCAGCTTGGACAGGGGCCGTTTTGCGGTTCTCAGGGGTAGAAACCAACTAGGCGATACCTATAAGTCATATCGGTCCATTCCCAGTGGGAATTTAGTCTTCTCTGCTTTCCAAGTGGTAACGCGCCGTTCGTCACGAGGAAACATCTGTGTCCGCGTGTCACCGACATCCACTGGTTAGTCCGAGACAGAGTGCAAACCCCGTGTCAGGTGTTTGCGGTGTCCTTTCCGGACTCCGTCATGAAGACTGATCCTCTTGATGAATCCATCCGTTAGCCAACGAGTACCAGGGGTGCTTGGTGTAGCATCTAGGATGGCTGGTGGAGTGTCCCCGTAGGGTACCGATGGTTTCTGACAGTGAGGTCAGCGGGGCGGCAAGAGGACAGGCCAAGTGACCTTCTGGGTACGGGAGATTTGTCCTTTAGCCGTGATTGCACAACTGCCATAGAGGTAACACTGTCGAAATGATACCTGGTGCGGCCAGCTAGGGTCACCCAGCGTGCAAGAGGGGGTCACCCAACAAGCACAAGCATACCATGCAGTATAGGCCAGCAGGGGAGGGGGTCACCCTCAGTCTGAACATAATCGGATACTGTAGGTACAGTGGTGCGGCCAGCTGGGGGTCACCCAGCGTGCAAGAGGGGGTCACCTAACAAGCACAAGCATACCATGCAGTATAGGCCAGCAGGGGAGGGGGTCACCCTCAGTCTGAACATAATCGGACACTGTAGGTACAGTAGTGCCCAAGTGGTTAGCCGTATAATAAAGTAACCAGACATTGCCGGTCCAGCAGTGTAGACGGCAGGAGGGGGTCACCCTCATATAACCAGAACCGGGAATTGCAGATCCAGCAATGCTGTAGGTAAGAGGGGGTCACCCTCAGTGTGGTATCATAGAGGTCTTTACACCCAGCAGTGTAGTCAGCGAGAGGGGGTCACCCTCATTATCGTAATAACGGGACCCTGTAGGTCCAGCAGAGTAGTCCACAGGAGGGGGTCACCCTCAGTATCTGCGTATTGCAGGGCACTGTAAGAACAGAAGCTCAATCAGTGGGAGGGGTACCCTCTTTTATGGGAATACCCGGACGCTGCAGGTCCAGCAGTGCAGACTGCAGGAGGGGTACCCCCTCGGTATGATAATAGCAGGACATTGTTGGAGCATTAGTATAGGAAGCAGGAGGGGGTCACCCTCAGCATTAATCTTACAGGACGCCGAAGAGCCAGCAGGGTACTCATAGGTAGCCATGTTGCCAGAGGGAGGGGGTCACCCAGCCCACAATGGTGTCACACGTCCATTATTATGGTCCAGTAGCGGGTAGAGCCCCAGAAATATGGATGGGGGGTTCACCCCCCCAGTAATAACAGGTCTGAATGTGGGGCCAGTAGCCCCCTGAGGGGTAGGAGGGTCCATATAGCGAGAAGCTGACTCACAGACCACTCAGGTATTATATTAGGATACACTTTTGAAGTGTATGTGTAGTGGAAAATGTAAGTCCCTTGCAGGAAGGGCAACAAATCCTAGGCAGGGGAGCTAGGTGCTGAAAAACAGGCCATTTAATTGTTATGAGAAAAAGACTGAACCTTAGAGAAAGACTTGATTAGCATATAACACATGGCATAGTCTTGTTAAACAAAGATTTTTATTTGAGCAGTAACATGTCCCTTTAAATCTGAGATTCACATGTAATAGTAAAAAAGTGTGACAAGTCTACTGCTAAGATAGAGAACCTAGTCACATTGCATCAGACATAGTAAGCTGCAGTTGTGAGCGTGCCTGGGACAGATCCTGCTATCCAGGATCTGTTACATATGCAGCATGTGAGAGAGGCACAGTAAGTAGAGGGATAGCTGAAAAACTGGGCTATCTCCCTTGATATAGGGAGAGGGGAGGGTGGCCACATGGCCAGCAGGCCAGTTCTTGGGTGAGACCTGGCTTTTTTCGCAACGCACAGAGCCCATGTGGCTCTGAAAAATGGCCGCCGCGGCTCCAACAAAATGGCTGCCGCGGCTGCAAAAATCAAGCGCGGCCTACCGTGTGGTGATCGTGCGGCACTGCCACGGTAGAAAAAGCTGCTCAGCAAGCGGCCAGGGGCCACGGGGAGCAGGTGGGAAATAAGGGAGAAAGCGTATGGGCGACAGAGCCCAGCAGGGGAACCCGGGGAGGGGAAACAGATTACAGACAGAGCCAAAGCATCATAGCAGAGGCACCCATTCCCCATACAGCAGAGTGAGAAAAACTGCATAAAGTAACCCAGAATAACAATAAATCAATGAGCAGTATACAGAATCTATCAGATAAATAGCCTAAATACAGCAACAGATGTTAACAAGTGATATAGCAGCTACATAGCATGAAGTGGTAAAGGAAATAACACAGAATAGACTGCCTAGCTAAACCCAGCAATAGACTGCCTAGATAAACACAGCAATAGACTGCCTAGATAAACACAGCAATAGACTGCCTAACTAAACCCAGCAATAGACTGCCTAGATAAACACAGCAATAGACTACCTAGATAAACCCAGCAATAGATTGCCTAAATAAACCCAGCAATAGACTGCCTAGCTAAACCCAGCAATTGACTGCCTAGCTAAACCCAGCAATAGACTGCCTAGCTAAATCCAGCAAGAACCCTGCCTAAATAAAACCAGCAATTAAGCTGCCTAATCAAACCTAACAAATAGACTGATTAAATAGACTGTTTAAATAAACAAGCAGCATGTAGGATAAAACAACAACCAAGAGCAGAGACAACTCTGAGTTGGTGAGTGCTCACCTGGAGGCAGCAGCAAAGAAAGAGGAAGTCGAAGATCCTGCTTAGGGGTTTTATACTACTGTGGCTTTGTTCTGATTGGTTGTTTTGAAAAGTTCTTTTAACTGTTTCTTTGCTGCTGGAGGTTTCAGTAAAGAAGGTAAAGCAAATATGAAGCCTCCTGTCCTGCCATAAAATTAACAGTCAGGTCTGCTACGCCACAATAGCTGTATGAGACCGTTCGTCAACAGGTTGTAACATGGCATAAAAAAATACTGTGCACAAAATTGTAAAATACAGGTTAAATACAGGTTATAGTGAGTTAGTGGAGACTAGCATAGTGCATGTTAGACAGAATTAGCAGCTTAACGGTTGTGGTGAAAGTTGTATGCACAGTGTATGCTTATGGCGAGTTAATAAAGACAAAGTTAAAAATAAACACAGTGAGTGATAACCTATATAAACAGCGTAGGTAGTGATTAAAGTATATGCACTCTGCATGCTTATGGTGAAGAAAATAAATCCCTAGGTGGCCCCCCAGGTACATTGGTAGCGAGATTTACATTCAAATGAAAAAGAGCATCAGTTCCTGGCTGTTGAGCATGTAGGCGTGATAGGCTTGTTGGCATTATGTATGTAGTGCTGGGGGTGTAAAGGGTTAACTCAGCCGATACCCTGCTGGGGAAGCACAAAGTCTAGCTTCGAGTGTCCTGATATCAGGCTTTGTAGACCACCTGATGGAAAGCAGTAGGCGAGATTCTGTGAGGGAGCTGGTTTCATGTGGGGATCCCACCAGACCCGGGTTCTTGATGACAGGTCCGTAGTTCTGGTAGCGGAGGTCAACGAGTCGAGTACGGGCAAGCGCTGCACCACTTGAGGTCTGCTTTATGTTCTGCGGCGTTGTCTGTGTCCAGCGTGAGGAAAGGTTTCAAGCCTTCTGCGGCCGCTTGGTTCGACCTGGCTGGTTGCTGGGTGTGTGGAAGGTTTGCAGCCCACGATTGCCTGTAAGCGGGAGATGTTCCCCTCTACAGCGCCGTCTCAGTGCTTTCAGCAGTTGGGGGACTATGTGGCGATTGTCAGGCACCGTAGTAGCCCCTGCCTTGGCTCGGGGTGAGTCCCACTTGCGTGCCGCCTGCTGTCGGAAGAATGTGCGCCTCCTGTGTTGCCGCCATCTTAGGGCCTTCATCTCCGCCGGGGCCGTAAATGTCCGCCATTGGGGCGCGATCAGCTGTGGAGGTGAGTGTGCTTGCGGTTGCACTGGGACGGTCTGATGCCTCCTGTCCTCCAGCTTCTGCCAGAAATCATCGATAATTTTGTTAAGCCTGTATCTCAGGTCACTCCGTTCTGCGGAGTCAGGATGCCACCTGGCTGCCGCCATGCTGAAAGAGGTGCTTGCTGGCTCTGCGGGTTCAATGGCTTCTCCCCATGTGTCCCGTAAGTAGCAAAAGCCTCCCAGAGGTGGACCGGGATCACCCCCACCGGTCCAGAGGGGGGGATAATGGGCACCAGTAAAGTGGTGTTGGCCATTTATAATAAACACTCAAATTCTGTCCTATAGGGAATAAGACAAGAGCTAAAAGACTGAAGGGAGGGGCATTCTTATTCTTTTAAATTAGTTCCTCTCTAATTAGGTTTAAGCAAGAGCTACCCATTTTTGTGCTGCCATGGATATGACCACAAAAAGATATTTGAAATTATTCCACCCCTTCATGGCAAGCATCTTTACTACTTAGTATAGCACCCTTTTTATTGTTATGACATGCTGCAAATGAGATGCCTAGCCAGACACCACCAGGACTTCTTCTGAAACCAAGCCTTGGTGGAATTTGAGGTATGCTTGGCATCATTGTCTTGTTGGAAGGTCCAATGAAGCCCAAGCTTCAGCTTCCTCACAGAAGGCATGATATTTTCTCCTATGATTTCCTGATACTTCAACAAATCCATCTTGCCTTCCACACATTGCAGGTTTCAAGTGCTAGAGGATACAAAGTACCCCCAGAGCATCACAGAGCCATCACCATGCTTATCTGCAAGCAAAGTGTTCTCTTCCCCCTTCATTCGTCTTCCCCTAGACACACCTCCGATCCATTGGGCTGAAAAGTTCCAGTTTTGTTTAATTGCTCCACAGAATAGAATCCCCAAACTTCTGTGGCTTATTTATATGATTTTGAGCATATTGGAGCTGACTTTTCTTGTACTTTTGTGCCAGTAATGATGTATGTCTTGGAGTTCTGGCATGGAAACCTTTTGTGTTTAATACGCGCCTTACTGTGCTTACGTAAACCTCAGTGACTGTTGCCACCAAGTTTTGCTGCAGGTCTTTTGCAGTCAGTCGAGGGTTTTTCACAACCTGCCTTCTTAGAAATCTGGTTGCAGCCATGGATAGCTTCATTTTTCTGCCCCATCCAGGTAGTGTAAGCACTGTTGAGCCATTTCAATCGCTTTGGTTTGATTTGTTCATTGCAAACAGCTGAAAGTTTCAGAAGTAGTCCTGGAAAATTCTACAGTGGCAATCACAATCACCTGACTTGAACCGCGTAGGAAATCTCTGTTGAGATTTGAAGAAGGCAGTTGCAGTACATAAACCCAAAAATATTACTGAACTGGAGGCCATTGCTCATGAGCAATAGGCTAAGATTCCTCAGAAAAGCTGCCGGAAGCTGGTGTCGGCTGTGCATCTCATTTGTAGAAGGTTATAACAGCAAAATGATGCTCTAATAAGTACCAAAGATGCTTGCCATGAAGGAATGGAATAATTTTGAGACTGGAGAGGTCATTATAAGAATTTGTTGTGTTGAGCTATTTCAATTCCTTTTGTTTGATTTGTTTAGTGCAGACAGCTAAAAGCCTATACATTTTGAAAATAAATCAGATTTTCGATGGTAGTTGAATAATTTTGATTACAACTGTATATACACTCTAAATTTACACTCACCCACTAGCCATTGATGAGTGAAAAGTTAGCCCTGTGAGTAGAGATTCACCCCTGGTTACTGTGGCATATACTCTGCAGGCTTTCAGTGGTGAGTAACTATTAGGCCTGGCTTGCTGACTTGCAGTGTAGGACTGGATATTTTAAATCCAGTATATATATATATTTTTTTTTTGGGGGGGGGAGGGGGTATGGGGGCTGGAATATAAATAATTTGCTATGGTTTTGTTTGGTCTACTCATCATCGGATGTATTGAGTAACGAGGTTGTTATTGATATTTCAGTCTTTAGTCAGTGTGTAATGATCTATGAGTTTCTCTTGTAGTTCTCAGTAATCTTTTAAAGAATTGTACAGAACGAGCCATTTCTGTAAAAAATGTGATATTATAATGATTGTGCCAGACTGACAGTCTGTGTATAGATCATGACTTGTTGAAAGCCTCTAGTTTTTGTTTTTTTTAATAGATTCGTTAGAGAGGCTGGTATCACTATTATATTGCTGTTTTGCCTTTTATTTATTACAGGGCCGGAGTTACATGTCAGGTGCCTTTAGGCACAGAATTCGAAGATGCTTACTTCTGCCTCCCACCCCCCCAAAAAGAAAAGGCACATAACGTTAGTTTAATAAATTTATTCTAAAACAAAATCTCATCACCAACCGAGGGTAAATTTCAAAATGTAATCACTGTTTGGTAGCAGGTTAATGTTAACAGCTTCCTCAATAATAAATATACAATAGTATAATCCTGTTACAATAGTGTTAATCTACAGCAATCCTAGATGCAGTGGTACACAGAGACTCAGGGTTCCTCCCAGATATTGTGTGTGGGGGAGGGTGGGGTTAGAAGATCGTTTCCTGGTTGTACATATCCAAATATGTCTCCCTTTCTTTTCACAAACTCCAGCAGTGAGCCATGAAAATTTATGAAAAATATTTAAGTGGCATAATTTAATTTTAAAAATAGTATTATATCACTGGTCCAACATGTTTCGTCGGGGACCGGAATACAGTAAAAATAAATACTTGAGTACAAATAGTACAAGCGTGCCCTACAGACCCTCCTCCGTGTTCTGCTTATCCAATTACTTGCATTGACATCCTCGTGCACTTGTCTCCCTTTCATATGCCTTTTGTTGACGCTAATTGTAGATTATACTAGCTTTAGTGTAACTATAATCTTAATTTTATTAATGACAGGAGGCAAATATTTGCTTAAGTCTCTCTTTACTTTAACTCCAAAGCAGCACATTAACATAGAGATAAAAACACCAGAGACCAAAAAATCAGGAATCTATAAAAGGCTTCTCCCAACTATTTCCTCTTTCACGCTGCGACAAATAAAGTACATGAACAATACACCACAAATACAATAACAGGAGAAACAAACATAACATAACGATGAATGCCATCCGAAATTTAAACCGTGGAACCAGTGGGTGAAGCCTTGACCTTTATTCTGTAGTGTAGTCGGGTCTAAGAACTAATAAACTGAAACGAGATAAACAGAGTCGAAAACACTGATTAGCGAATGAAATGTACTGAGAAAACATGAATTCCCATCGTAAATACTGACAGTATAATATCCCAGATAGTGAAAAAACTTGAATCCCCATCATAAAATACTGACGGTACCATATCGCAGATAAACCCCAACTCCCCCAGATAACCAACCTAGCCCAGGAGACCAGGTGAATAAACAACAAGTCAGTCAAACCAACAAACAACATGGGGAGGGAGAAACTGGGAGGGAAATATTCGCCTCCTGTCATTAATAAAATTAAGATTATAGTTACACTAAAGCTAGTATAATCTACAATTTTATAGCATGACAGGAGGCTTCATATTTGCTGTTTTAACGCTCGGACAGCAAAGACCAAAGAAACACGATCCGCCGTACCAACCTAAACTCTGCAAAGATAGCTCCTCGTAACCGGCAGGAAAGCGTACGATGTCTGGAGAAAAACGCCCGCCATGTCGGTACCTGAAGCCGCCGTGTTACGGACTGAAGTGAACCGAAAAAACCTATACGCCCCGCCAATGCCAACCACAACCAAGCAGTACATGAAGGGCGAGAAAAAGGGAAGAGCCATTTAAACAAACGGAGACGTCGAACACCGCCTAAAGGTGGGAGCGCTACCAAAGTAAGAATATGACCCTCAGCTCCGACTAAGGCTGATAGACAACTAAGGTCCAAACCGCCGAACCCATCTGAAAGAAAAACAAGGTATACTAACGGAAATAAATCCAGAATCAGTGAATGGGCAAAACCCGACAGAACCCACCATAGGAGCATGACAAAAATGCGTGTACCCCCTGGGGCGATGAATACCCGTCCTCAGGAATCGTAAAGTGAATTCTAAGCAGAGCGAGGCCTGCTGACAACAGTCGTACGCGCTATCTAAGCTAATCAATATGGGAGTCCCCGGTAATAACGTGACCGAACAATACCCGAACCCTGTAAAAGCGGTAGCAAATTAGGAGATCCATACAAGACCTAACTACGTCAGGGTCGCCATGCAGACCAAAGTCTCACAATCCCCTGAGATCAAATGAGCAAGGGTCCAGGGAATCCAGGAACTAGGTTAAACTCTGCCGAAGCGGAGATCATAATTCCAAAGTACCAGCAGACCGAGGCACCTGTAGAAAGGCACTGAGACCAAACAAACAGGGCCGTCTGGCCGATTGCATAGGGGCTAGCCGCTCCTCGGAGACTTATCTTTCCGGGAGCCTGGTTCAGGGCATTCACCCTTCCAATAGCACTCATGTGCACTTGCCTGCTCTCCTCAAGGAGAGTCTGACTCATTCAAGTCACTGGTTCAGGGCCTTCACCCTTCCAGTAGCACTTATGTGCCCTTGCCTGCTCTCCTCTAGGAGAGTCTGACTCATTCAAGTCGCCTGCCATTTTAAAGGTGGGCCCTCTAGCATTATGCTCCTGATAATCTTAAGGGAGGACCCTGGCTGAAGCCTACTTCCACGGAGGTGGTTACTGCCATAGATAAGGGTTCTCTTGTACAGCGGTCCCAGGCAAAGCGACCTCAAGGAGTATAGAGGACAAGTGTCACCGGCAGGGAGATAGGGGCAGCACCCCATATAGTGACCGAGGCAAGTTGGGCAGCGCATGCAATGCACAAGCGTGAGTATGTGGCAGTAGGCTTGGAATGCAGACATTCTGCCACAGACAGCACAGGCCAGATCAATGGGGCACAGACAAAACATGCCAATCAATGGGGCACAGACAAAGCAGGCCAAGCAATGGGGCACAGCCAAAGCAGGCCAATCAGTAAGGCACGGACAAAGCCGGCCAAGTCCTGGGGCACAGACAAAATCAGGATCTTCAGAGATG